TAAATTTTAAAACATCCTCTTACTTTTGAAAAAAGAACCTAAAGGAGTATACATTATCTGAAACTATTCAATTATACTGGAAGTGCTTTATTTGCATATTTCTAGGGGAAAAAATAGGTAGAGCTTATAATCATAAATTAGAATTCTATTAGAAGTGTTTGCCCTAATAATTAACTACTCTTCGTGTGTTATATATAAATTCAAATAGAACATGACATGTTATTTTGATATAATTTTCCTGACGCAGTATCATTTTGTAGCTAAAAACAATGGTTCTTTGAGGGTTTATAGCAACAATCTGATGAAAGGATATTTTGTTTGGTCTTCACAAGTACATATTCTTTTAAAGAATAAAGCACAACATAGTTAAACAACTTGCTAAAAGAATAGAGACAATGATTATAAATTCGACATTTCTTCTATCCTTTAGCAGAGGAAGAGTAGAAATCTGAAGGAGTCTAGTTGGTCCAAACTTCCAAGGTGATAAATTATTCAAACATTTGAAGCAGTTCTTTCCAACAACTTCTGCTCTTAAAAAATATGCCAGTTTTTTCACTCATGGTCAATCAAGCTGTCTTCAGAAATATATTATCTTCCTTCTCTTTTTATATTTTGTGATTCTTATTGCCATAAAGATTATAGACAGTTCTATCAGTAAGTTTCAATAAGTTGTTCTTCCTAAATTATATGAGCCTGTAATCCTTTTAAGAATTGCATTTGTTTTTTAATCAAAGCACTAATCATTTTACATTCTATTCTTCCCCCAATGTCCTCCTTGTCTACTTTTTCACTAAGGTTAAAAAGTATAGACCTTTTTTTCTCTATAAAGTTTCCTATTTATAACTCTCAACTGTTTTGTTGGCTCTGTTCTTATATTGCACAATGGCAGCTCTTTATTGGACACTAAGTCATAATGAAGCTTTGTTTACTCTGAAATAGAAAGGCTAATTTGTGAGCTGTATAGCCCTAAAACCTAGTTAAAATTAGAAGGGATATTGTTGGAGGTATTGTTCATGAAATAACTTAAGATTTCTTTATGAAAAGAGCTTAATGAAACATTCAGGCTCAAAGCATGAACATTTATTTTTCTTTGCTTTCTTTTATACCATGTAGTGGTGGATCTGAACCTTCTAAAAGAGGAGGTAAGATTATACAGCTGCACACCTCGTAACTTCTCGGTGTCCATAAGGGAAGAACTAAAGAGAACCGATACCATTTTCTGGCCAGGTTGTCTCCTGGTTAAACGCTGTGGTGGAAACTGTGCCTGTTGTCTCCACAATTGCAATGAATGTCAATGTGTCCCAAGCAAAGTTACTAAAAAATATCACGAGGTAGGTATACCATTTTATTATCAGTTTCCTTTCAGTATTTTGTGTCTTACGACAAAACAGTGAATCTGAAATGGATTTATGTTTGGAAAGGAGATGTCATGTCAATGAAAAAAAAAATAAGTTTTACAAATAGTTTATGTTTTCATTTTTTAAAAGTATGATCTTTCATTCAAAAACCAGACATTAGGGATTTAGACAGCTTATTCTCTGATAGTACATCATGGGTGGTCAATGAAGTTTTTACCTCTTAGACAAAAGAGAAAATGTATTCTCCATGGAAAAAAAAATGGGTGAAGAATTTTCAACGTTTCAAAATATGAAAGGAAAATATTTTAAAGACAAGCTTGGAGACAAATCATTGTCTACTTTGGAAAAAGGAGATCTTTGATATTTATTTTTCTATGTGGGGCAATATGGGCACATAACTCCCAAGGGGACTTATTCATAATTATACCAATCTTTCTACTATTCAAGTCGCCCCAAATAACATGTTTAACTTTGTATGCATTTTTTAACCATACAAAGGCATGAAGGAAAATATAATATGAAATGTTCATAATAACTATCTTTTCAGAGCCCTGGGAACCTTAGAACTTGAATTTAACGTTTTCATTAGTGCTGGAATATCCTCAATTGTGTCCCACCTTCTCCTCTAGCAGTATAATGTGGCAGACGTACATCAGGAGGAATCTCCTCTTGATGAGTCAACTTTAATTGTTACCAAACATCTGCATTAGACCAGGCCAAAATCTGCCCTTCTGACTTCATTTCAATATTACTCCCTTTCACTACTTTTAATTTTTTCTGCTAAATTTAATAATAATACAGAATAAATATCTAGTTAGTAAATAAAATGGCTTTTCACATGCATAAGGACTTCAGTGAAACTCTCACTGAAGTGAAAGCACAGATCTAGAATAGAAATAGAGTCCCTTGTCTTCTGGAATCCAGTGCTTTTTTCCTCCCCTTTAATCAGCTGCCAACACAATATTGGTGACAGGAAGGAAAATCAAGTCATGTGAAGTACAGTTTATGAAACCATGCATGTTTAGATTACCTAAACAGATGAGGGTTTCAGTGAAGTCTTTTTGCATGTGAAAGATCATTTTATTTATTAAGTAAATATTTAATCTGTATTATTTTATTTGTTTGTTTATTTATTTATTTATTTTTGAGTATTACAGGGGTACAAACATTTTGGTTACATGAATTGCTTTTGTACCGTTTGATGGGTATAAGTGTGCCCATCCTTCAGATAGTGTGCATTGTACCTGTTAGGTGTGAATTTACCTATCCCTTCCTCCCACCTGCTTGATTTCCCATGAATATTATTTCCATATTTTCACGTAAGTGTTGATCAATTAGTTCCAATTTAGCAGTGAGTACATGCAGTGTTTGTTTTTCCATTCTTGCGATACTTCACTTAGAAGAATGGGCTCCAGCTTCCTCCAGGAAAATACAAGAGGTATTAATTAGTTCATTGTTTTTTTATGGCTGAATAGTACTCCATGGTATACGTATACCACATTTTATTAATCCACTCATGCATTGATGGGCACTTGGGTGGTTTCGACATCTTTGCAATTGAGAATTGTGTTGCTATTGAAATGAAGCCAGGCCAGATTTTGACTTGGTCTGATGTAAAGGTTTTGTAAAAATTAAAGTTGATTCATCAAGGACTGCTTTCTGATGCCAAATGATGCTGGAAGAGAAGGTGGGGTATAATTGAGGATATTCCATAACTAATGAAAATGAGTGTACAAGTGAACTTGTGACTGTCAGCAGGATATTTAACCTCTGTAAAATAAGTGGAAAATATGATAATCACTCAGGTTTTTCCTAGCTGTGTTATTCCATGACAATTACAGATAGTAGTCTTTTGGAAGGTAATATCCCAGACTGGCAGTCATCAAAAGTAGGACTATTTACTGTCATTACTCATGTTCTGCTTTCATTTCCACACCACATGCTTCTAAAGATCTCTGTGCTGAGAATGAAGTCTCTTCTCCAGTTTCAGGAAGTATATTTAGTCATGACCAAGGTGGCTTACAGAGCTCTAGGCAGGCGGTGCCTATAGGCCGGCCTTACTGCTACTCCGTGATCTGGGAATCTAGTTAAGAACAACCGCATTAAAATTAAAATGCCTTAAAGGCCAGGCAGGTATTAGAGTTGCCCAGCATTACATAAAACCATGTGATGAGAATATAGATTAAACTGAAGTGATCTTTTTTGTACCTAAAACTACTCAATTGTGAAGTCTCTAAAGCTGTAGTCCCCATCCCCAAGGCCGGAGACGGGTGCCAGCCAGTGGCCTGTTGCGGGCCGGGGGCAGGCCCAGGGCGGGAGGTGGGCGGCGGGCGGCTGGGCGAGGCTTCGTCTGTGTTTGCGGCTGCTCCCCATCCCTGGCATCGCCGCGTGGGCTCCAGCTCCTGTCAGATCCGCAGGGGCATTGGACTCTCATAGGAGCGCGAACCCCGCTGTGGACTGCGCATGCAAGGGATCTAGGTTGCATGATCCTTGTGAGAGTCTGGTGCCTGGTGATCTGGGACGGAGCTGGGGCGGTGGTGCCGGCGCTGCAAAGCGGCTGCAAGTGCAGATTGTCATTGGCAGAGAGGTTTGAGTGCACAATGAATGTGATGGCTTGGGTCACCCGGGGACCATCCCCCTACTCACCCCCACACCCGTCCATGGAAAGGTTGTCTTCCATGTGATGGTTCATGGTGCCAAAAAGGTTGGGGACCGCTGCTCTAAAGCATGTACTCAGTAAACAAAATGTATTTGGGGACCTGATTTAGCCAACGAACCTTGAATTTGAAACTACTGTAAGCGCTGTAAAACCCAGACTTGTGCTAGCGTTTTAAAATAAGCTTATCAGATGCTGAGTTCATATCATGCAGTGGTCTGCTAAATCAGTCCTCAGGTCAAGCGTATCTTCCTCCATCTCACACCTGTAAATTTCTTTTCAAGTAGTATTAGTTTTAGGGCAATCCAGAAAGTTGCCTCGGAGTATGTAATATGTATTTAAGCCGCAGATAAAATCCATGTTTGGGGCAAGGCTATGTGCAGTACCTATAGTCTCAGTGGCCCTTGTCCAGAATGACATTAGGCCATTATTTCCCTATCTTGGGTGGTCTTAAATATATGTGTATACACATTACATATATACACGTAAAATTATGGATGACTGTCTAATTATGATAATTACATGATGATCCATTTGTTTTTTCCAAATATCTCTAAGGTATAAGTATGTAGAATTATAATTGTACAGTTACCTAGTCTACATTTTTCACAAATATTTCTAATAACAATGATGACTCAATTTTGTAAATGCCTTGTAGGAATCATTAGTATTTGTGTGGTAATATTTTTGTTAAATTACTCTATGGAAATAGGACTATTTGGCATAATTCCTAGTTTCTGAGAATAGAGTTCATAATTTCTGAAAATAAATTTTTCTCATTCTTATATTTTGGAAATCAGTTGTGAGTCTATTACTGCTCCTAAAAATATGAAATTGTTTTCTAAACATAATTTAAGATTGTTCTGAAATCATTGAATAATTGAATTTCATTAGTCTGGACATAGAGACTTAACTCATTTAAAGAGAAGCCTGCCTTGGACTTTAATTCTTCTGTATGGTGATGGTTCAACTTTCAATTTGAGGATGTTTCCGCCTTGTAAAGAAGGCAGAAGCAAAGGCAGAGAGCTTAGAAGTTATTGCTTTTCTCTCCTTCATCTATTTCTATCATACCAGCTTCCATTAATATTAAAATCATATTCATTGTGTTACTACAGATATAACTGAATTGTCTTCTCTTTTGGTTTCCTGTAGCATTTTTATTGGGTTTTGTTCATCCATTGTGAGTATCAAAAGTAAGGTTAGAAAATAAAAGATATTATAACATAATAATGTTGTTAATAAGATTCTTACGGCTTTTGGATCAATCACTGGCTCTCTTAGGAGGAAGACATTTTAGCCAAAGAAATATTTTTTCTTAACAGTTTCTCTATGCCCTAAATAGGAATTTTCAGAAAAGCAAGTCAGGAACTTTATATATGTATAAACTTAGATGTCACCTCTTCCTTGAAACACTTGTTAGTGTCCTACCAGTCTTAGCATAACTACTTAGTACATTCTGGATGCATGTGTAGAACTTTAAAGATATCTCTATTAGATAACTTTTACTATTTCAAAATTATCGATGATTTTTCTTTGTTTCTACCAAATTGAGAGGTAAAGGACAACAAAGATCACATTACAGTTTAGTGTTTGAGAATACAAACTTCAAAGCCAGACATCTCAAGTTTGAATCTCACATGTTAGCTGTGTGACTTTGAACAAATTAATTAGCCCCTGTGCTTCAATTTCCTGATCTGTATGGTGAGTTTCCAAACCTCATACCTTGTTGTGAGGATTCAATGAGTTGATATTTACAAAACACTTTGAACAAGGTCTGGCACACACTTTAAGCCCTTAATGTATCTTAGGTATTCTCTCACTCACCTTTATGTTATGCCCCTGTGCCTAGCCTTATTCTTCAGTTATGGTAAATGATCAATAAACATTTAGTGAACTTTGCCCAGAGAAAGGAAGGATGTTCTTCTAGCCGAAAGATCTATGTGGGATACTCTGACAATAGTAACATATTTTTTCTTTTTTCTCTATTCTTAATCAGCCTAATGATTTTTATCTTGTTTATATCTTCATGTATTTAATTTCCTTTTTCATAACATAGTCTTAATTTTCTTACGTTAGATCTGTTTGCTTTGGGAAAAAATTATACCATTCAATGGCCTTATCGTAGTAATGAATCCCTTATCCCAGCATTCCATGGTTCTCAAGTGGTTAGGTCATTTTCTTTGCCTGTGTTGAACAGTGGTACATGAGCATCTGTTTCTTGGTGATTCTTTCTGAGTCTAATCTGTTCTCTTCCACAGTCTCTGGCTTACCTTCTCCCTGGACATTCTTTTTCATGGACTTGTAATTTTAGTTTCACCCTCTTTCTCTAAATGTTCTGAGATGTACTTCCGCCTTGTTTGTTTTCTGGTGTCATAATCTCTCCTGAAAACCACAGTTCGTTTAATATCATCTGGGACCCGCTGATCATTTTCTAAGTCTTCTTTCTCTTCCAAAGTCAAAACTTTCAAAAGGAACTAAAAAGGAAAACATTAATTCTTTCTCATCATGTATTAGGATTTCTTATCCAAGACTTAAAAATTACTAAGACGTTATGAGATTCTTCTGCTATTTGTGAATCTCTGTGAGTATCAGCAGACGAAGGCACAGAGTTTTACTCGGCACATGCATCTTGGCATGAGCCTGCTAGAGGAAGCAACGATTGCAGCCTGGCCTGGCTGACTGTTAGGATTGTACGTGTAGCCTCTCTAACCTATACTTTTCATAGTAATTCTTTTCCATGCTAAATGGGAAAATGCATACAGGTGGACATAAGCATTGAAGACCTCAGCAATACCAATATTGCAGTTTATCTTACCCAACTATCCTCATTCCAGAATCAATTTGTAGCAAGAGTATAAGGAATAGTGCCAGTATCTTAAATGTAGTTAGTGTTGATGCCACTCTAAATCTAAATCTAAATCTAAATTGTTCAGAAACAGTCAGTACTGACATAAAATAATATTCAGCAGCCATTAGGTTAATTTTCACATTACTTATTGCTAATTACACATGGCAAATTACTAAGACTATATTACTTAAAGTGATACAGTCTGAGCAATTTTCATTTTAGAATTGAGAAATGTAATAGATGAGAAAATAGACTTTAAAAGTTTACTATTTCTGATACTTGTTACAAGACTTTGAAGTTTATCTCTCTAAGAAGAAAATTACTTAATAAATAGAATGTATGAGAAGTAATATTCTGAATCTTTATGAAATTATTATCTATCACTCCAACTTTATTAATTCATCTTTGGGCTAGGTACAGATAAAGGCTATGTCACTTATTCTCCCTAAGCCTCTGTTCACTCATGTGTAAAATAAGGGCAATAATTGTAAATTACTTCATAGAATTCTTGTGAGTTAAAGTATGTAAAAACATTATTATTGTGCCTGGCACGCAGTAAGCATTCAAAAAATGTTAGCTAATTAACCTCTGATATAACCACATACTCCAATGAGGTATGCATTCTCTATTTCTCTTTTTAAGTCTTCAAACAGAACAGTCACAAGACTTGACTTGTGCCTTTTTGGATTAATGAAAATTTCCAAGAATGGTAGCTTTTCGAAGTTGCTCTGTGAAGTTATCTGTGTCCTACCCAGAAAGCAGAGAAGCTAGACAACTTCATATTATTTTGTGCTTTGGTTTTGGTTCATAATCCAAACAAAACACAACTTCTGAAACTTTATCATTTGTATTATAAGAAAGAAAATGTAATATACTTGAATAGGTAGCTACTATCGAATACTTCAGATCATCTTTTATAGAATACGAAGCTATATCTCTTTGTCACAATACTAAGAGGAAATATGTTTAGTATCTGTGTCTATTTTGCTGTATTTTTAATTAAAATCCTAACAACCCAAACTTCAAATAACTTTATTTAATAGGGGCATTATTGTTATTATTGCCAAACCTCCTTACACTGCACAGTAGAATCCAGCTGCAGAAAGTTAGCTGTGACTTAGGCTGATGTCTATGAAGTACATCTAATCCATCTCATCAAGTTTATAGAGGACTTGAAGTGTAGCCAAGAAAATTAATGAGTGGCATAATTGAGCAAACTCAGCTGTGGAGTGATCATGTTTCTTTCCACAGTATTCCTGCACTTGAGTGTATTGCTTCGAGTATAAATATTTGTTCAATGTGTGAATAAATCAATGAGTGAAAGAAACCAACAAACAGAAAAACGAATTGTGTATTAGTGGTTCTAAAATACTTAAGGTGAAATTTTCTTTGGTTTAGTTAGATAAGTAAAATGAAGAGTGCACAGTGAGTGTTTCAATTTGAGGACTGTTCTTTATTCGGAGGCAGAGTGCTTCGACATTGTGGGCATTTGAAGGGTCCTGTCTTTCATGAAATGATGATGATAGCTTATACATATTTTTTGGTGGGGGGATGTTTTCATAATGCCTTCTTTAGGAGAAATTTAAATTTGTAAATCTTTCCTGGGCCTCAGGATTCTTTTCTGAAATGTTACTTGCCCATGAAATCAAAAGTGATAGACATTCGTTGAGTTTTAAAGGTGGCTTCCATTGTTCCCTTTCAGGTCCTTCAGTTGAGACCAAAGATTGGTGTCCGGGGATTGCACAAATCGCTCACGGACGTGGCCCTGGAGCACCACGAGGAGTGTGACTGTGTGTGCAGAGGGAACACAGGAGGATAGTCACCACCAGCAGCGCCGGCGCAGAGCTGTGCAGTGCGGCGGCTGATTCTGTTAGAGAACTTATGCGTTATCTCCATCCTTAATCTCGGTTGTTGCTTCAAGGAACTTTCACCTTCAAGATTTACAGTGCATTCTAAAAGAGGAGACACCAAACGGAATGAGGAGCTGTGCAACAGCTCTTTTGAGAGAAGGCCCAAAGGACAGGAGAAAAGGTCTTCAATCGTGGAAAAAAAATTAAACGTTGTAGGTCACTAGCTAGTACAAAGTTACTGTGTACCTGTTCCACCAGCTGTGTTCTGTATTTCAGTTGTCTTAATATGGTTTAGGTTAATGTCGGTACAGGGAAAAAAACTGTACAAGTGAGCACCTAATTCTGTTGCTTTGCTTAACTCAAAGGCTCCATGTTCTGGGCCTAAAATCACAGAAAATCTGGAATTTTTTCCTTATATTCACATATATAAGCCAGAATGTTCTGTGTTCTACAAACGTGGTTTTTAAAAAGGAACTGTATTGCTATGAATTAAACTTGTGTCATACTGATAGAAAAGACTGGATTTTCCATATTTCTTGTTAAAATTTCTACCATTTAGAAGAAGAGAATTACATTCGTGTTTTGGAAGAGACCGGAACAGAAGAGTGGCCTTATCTTCACTTTACCTATAAGTTGGTTTATTTGTTTTATTGTGTACATTTTTATATTCTCCTTTTGACATTATAACTATTGGCTTTTCTAATCTTGTTAAATATATCTATTTTTACCAAAGGTATTTAATATTCTTTTTTATGACAACCTAGATCAACTATTTTTAGCTTGGTAAATTTTTCTAAACAGAATTCTTATAAGCCAGAGGAACAAAGATGATATAAAATATTGTTGCTCTGACAAAAATACATGTATTTTATTCTCGTATGGTGCTAGAGCTTAGACTAATCTGACTTTTAAAATACTGAAGTGGGAAATCAAAATTGGTAAGTTGCAAAGACTTTTTGAAAATAATTAAATTATCACATCTTCCACCTCTGTTATTGGAGATGCAAATAAAAAGCAACATATGAAAGCAGACATTCAGATCCAGTCATTACTAACCTTATCCTTTTTGGGGGAAATATGAGCCTAGCTCAGAAGAACATAAAGCACCTTGAAAAAAGAGACTTGGCAGCTTCCTGACAAAGCGTGCTGCGCTGTGCTGTAGGAACACATCCTATTTATTGTGATGTCATGGTTTTATTATCTTTAAACTCTGTTCCATACGCTTGTATAAATACATGGATATTTTTATGTACAGAAGTATATCCTTTAACCAGTTCACTTATTGTACTCTTTGGCAATTGAAAAGAAAATCAGTAAAATACTTTGCTTGTAAAATGCTTAATGTTGTGCGTAGGTGATGTGGTGACTATTTGAATTAAAAATGTATTGAATCATCAAATAAAAGAATGCAGCTATTTTGGGGAGAAACTAAGAGTGTGTGCATGTGTGTGTGTGTGTGCATGCAAGATCTCTCTCCTGGACTCGGAGAAAATGAGAATGATAAGGTTTTGTGTTACCATGATTTTCATTCTGTAAAAGCACGTGTCGGTTCATAAGACAGGTCCAAAAGGGAACAATTCTGTTGAGGATTCCCTGCCTCTTATTTCGAAAGCCTTTCAGGAGTGGTTTTCTTTTTCTCACTAGTCTTAATACTGGTTTCTGGTAAATTAAGTTGCACCTGACTTAAAAGTTGTTACGTGATTTATGAAATACTTAGTGATAGATTATATGGTAGTGCGAAATTGGAAAAAAAAAAAAAACTTCAGATTTTTCCACCATGTCTTTATTTTCAGTGGGAACTACTAAATGAGGTGAGCATAAATTGATTTGTACGTGGCTTCTAGTATTTTACATAGCACACTTGAAGGTGTGCTTCGTCAATTCCAGACACCGATTTCTAATCGGGACTGGGATCTTCAGCACCCTGTCCTTTCCTAAGCCTTTTAACCTGCTGGAAGATGACTAGTACCCAGAGCCGTGTGTCTTCAGACGACTCTTCCAGGCAATACCATTTACCGTGCTTTTATAGTTTGCAGTTTACCTACTTTGTCCCTGACCACATGAAAAACAAACAAAATGAGCGTATGTGTTGTTTCATAATATTTCCTTACCTTTTCCTAGTTTTGTCCTAGCCACAGAGAGGCCTACTAGATAAAGCTCCATGGAAAATGCAAAGCAGTTGGCAATTTACAACTTTCATGAGCGTAGTGAAGACTCTATTGAGTCTTACACTAAATGACCTATTTAACCAGGTGTTTAATGCTGGATTAAACACTGTTTAATCCAGCATTTCCAACTTCTGAATGGAATACTTTCTTTCCCTTTTAATTTTTTTTCAATATTTATTTTTTGTTTACTTATAGAATGTTGACAGTCAGAAGACATTACTCTATAAAGGTAGGAATCCCCACACTGCTGCCAGTCCTTTCTTGGGAACGCCTATGATGACTAACCTCTTTATAAACACTCACTATAGATTGTACTGTGTAATATGCTAAAAAAAAATTAATGCATTAAAAACACATGTGACCCTAATTTCTCAGAAGTCCAGGAAATACTGACTGTTGACCACACCCTGTTTTGTATGTGATGTCTGTGTTTCATGCCTCTGTCTCTGAGCAATGGACTGTTTTGCCCAGTGATATGTTTAAAATAAAAGAACAAGCCTGAATTGTCATGAGGCAGGTGTTCATGTCTACATTTTTCATTTCTACATCTCATTTCCACATTCCCTCCTTCATCTAGTAATCCTTATGTACGCTTCGAAAAGATACAACAAACAAAGTAATGAGAATCGCCACGGCTAGAAACCTCCTGGCACAAATTGGTCAGCCTCGGTGTGTCACTCCCTGCAGGTACATTGACGTCTGCTTAGGATTTGGTTTAAGAACAAGCAGAAAATACAAGTTTTACACTTAATGTAATGTCCTTATTTCCAAAAGGATAATATAATATTCATATTCCTTCTCATATTTTAGACTGTTTTAATTATGTATTATAAACAGTTAAAAATTATAAATATCATCATCCTTTGCATTCATAAGAAAGAGTAGGAAAATTGAAAATACAGTAGATGTCTTAGTTCAGACTGCTATAACAAAATCCTATAGCCTGGGAAGTTTATAAACAACAAATTCATTTTTCCCTGTTCTGGAGGCTGGAAGTCTAAGATCAGAGTGCCAGCATGTCCAGTTCTGGTGAGGGACCTCTTCCAGGTTGTTGACTGCCAATCTCTCTTTGTATCCTCACATGGTGGAAAAGAGGGTGAGAGAATTCTCAGGGGACCCTTTTATAAAATAGGCACAATCTCATCACGAGGGCTCTATCCTCATGACTTTTCCCAAAGGTTCCACCTCCTAATATCACATGGGCTAGGGGGTTTCAACATATGGCTTTTGGAGGACACAAACATTCAGTCCATTGCAGTAGAGTAATTGTTTTACGTCCTGTTTTCCCTTCACACTGCATATGTAATCTATCAGCAAGACTCACTGCCTTTGGTCTCTCATAGCTGTGTCTACCTTTCCATTTCTGTAGCTGCTGCTGCGGTTTAGCCCCTCATCATTTCTCGACACCCATTGCGTCACAACAGCCTCCATTTCTCCAGTCTTCCTGCCTCTGGGCTCACTCCCCTCAGGTACATCCTCCACACCACCAACAGAAGAATCTTTCAAACAAATTGGATTATGTCATTAGGGCAGAAATTTTATAATAGGACTCCACAAGATTACATTTTAATCTTTGTATAGCAGACAAAATTCTTCATAATGTCATTGTTTACCACTGTCTGCTCATTTGGCACCATCAGACCTAACATACAGCTCTAGTGGATACCTGTGGTTTCCTGAAAACACCAAAATGCCCTCAAATTTCTGTGCTGGTATATGCTGTGTTTTCTTTGGAGCACTGTTCCTGCACTCCCCTATCTCAGTATCTTCCTCCAAAGTCTCCTCAAATGTCACTTCTCAGTGAAGTGAAGCTTATTTTTCTTCCTTCCCACAGGCATCATTTCCTTATGCTGCCAGAAGCATTTCAATTATAAATATTGTCCTACTGTGTTATAATTACGTGCCTTAATTTTGATATCTGATTAGACTCCTAGTCTAATGGGACTCCTAGCAGGAATTATCTCACTGTTCTTTCCCCAATGCCTGGTTAGGGGGTTAGTAACAATTTGCATCAATGAGTAAGTGAAGGGAATATATAAATAAATAAATTTTTTTAAAAAAATATAGCACTGAATATTGCAGGAACCCTGGAGTTCCTAAATATCTCTGAACTTCAACTACCTAGCTTGTAAGATGAAGGAGGTACTAGATAGAAACAGAGTACTTTTTAGTTCTAGACAGTATAAGCTACTAGTCCAGTTCCACTGGGGCACCTGCCAAAATGACTAAAGCATGTGGACAAAAATTTCTGTTCTTTATGGTACAAGGTGATAAAATTATTTCCTTCCTTAGCAATGCTTTAAGTCTATATATTTGGTTTTCCAGTCAGTGATTTTCCTACCAACCCTATCTCAGCTATCTCTTCTTTTTAAAGTTAAGATTTACTAATATCTTTATGTGTTATTCATTTCTTAGCTACTTGTCCTACAGTATGATTAATTTTTGTCAGAATTTTAACAGATCTTTAAAATGTGAACATTAACCATATCCATGATTAATTATTCATAATCTCTTTGTTTGCCTCTTTTGACTAATTTTGCATCATTAATCCTAACATATAGTTCTAGTGAATATTCATATTTTCTTGAAAAACACCAATATCCCTTCACATGTCTGTGCTAGCACATGCTGTGTTCTCTTTCTAGAGCACTGTTCCTGCACTTACCTATCTCAATAACTTCCTCTTGAGTCTACTAAAATGTTAATTATATCTTTTTGTACTTTGCCTCAGGAAGTATTTGCATACCACCTACACCAGATCCAATTTCTTACACAACTGCTAAGCCATTACAGTAAATCTTAACCAGTATAAATATTTATAAAATTTAAAGAAGGGAACTAATATTTTTATAGAAAGCATATATTTGAAGATTAACAACTATCATTTAAAAAATTATATATGCAATCCCAGCAGCTTTATTACAGAAAATGATAACCTGATCCTAATATTCATATGGAAATTCAAGAGACCCAAAATAGACAGAAAATCTTGAAGTACCAATTTAGAAAACTCACACTTCTCAATTTCAAATCTTACTGCAAAGCTACAGATGTAGTGTGGTAAGGTTAATGTTAGACATACAGATCAATAGGATAGAATTGAGAGTCCAAAAATAAACCCTTACATTTATAGTTAATTGATTTTTGACAAGGATTCCAAGAAAATCCAATGGTGAAATGACAAATGGCATGAAGACAACTGGATATCCAAATGCAAAAGAATGAGCTTGGATTCGTTCCTTCCTCATGCCATATAAAAAAATTAACCTAAAATGAATCAAAGACCTAAATATAAGAGATAAAACTATGAAACCCCCCCAAAAAATAGAAGAAAATTTTCATAACTCTGGATTAGGCAATGGTTCTTAGATATGACACCAAATGCATAAGCTACAAAAGAAAAAATAAACAGGATATCATCAAAATTAAAAAAGTTCGTGCTTCGAAGGACACCATAATAAAAACAAAATGTTAACCCACATTATGATGGAAAATATTTGCAAATCATATATCAGATTAGAGTCTTGTGTCAGAATATATAAAGAACTCAACAACAAAAAGGACAATTATGAGCAAAGGAAAAATGAGCAAAGGAGTGAATAGGCATTTCTCAAGAAATGTATACGATGGTCAATAATCACATAAAAAGATAGTCAACATCATTAGTCATTAGTGAAAAACAAATGAAAATTACAATAAGATACACAGAATTAAAAAGACAGACAATAACTCATGTTGGTGAGGATGTGGAGAAATTTGAACCCTTACATATGGCTAGTGAGATTGTAAAACGTTGTGACCACTTTTGAAAACAGACAGTTATTCAAAAAGTTAAACATAGAGTTAAACATGACTCAAATGATTTCACGCCTAGGTATATGCCCAAGAGAATTGAAAATCCTTCACACAAATGTTCATAACATTTTTCACAATAACAAAAAAGTGCAAACCACTCAAATGTCCATTAACTGATAAATGGATAAACAAAATGTGGCATGTCTATACAATGGAATATTATCAAGCAATAAAAGAGAAAGAAGTATTGATATATGCTACAGCATGGATGAACCCAGAAAACATTATGCTGGGTGAAAGAATACATTCAAAAAGACCACATATTGGCAAGGCATGGTGGCACACACCAGTAATCCCGGCACTTTGTGAGTTCTAGGCAGAAGGCTTACTTGAGGCCAGGAGTTCAGGAAAAGCATGGGCTACATAATGAGACCTCATCTCTACAAAAAAATGAAACAAAAAAAT